GAAAGTCGCTTTGTAGACCAGGTTGGCTTTGAACTCAGAAGATCTACACCTGCTTCTGCCTCTGGAATGCTGGGATTAAGGATGTTTGAAGCTTGATCCTCCTGCTTCCATCTCCTAAATGCTGGGATTGTGGGCATGTGCTCCCACACCTGGTATATGCAGCGCTGGGGATGGAGCACAGGCCTTTGTACAGGATAGGCAAGCACTCGGCCTTCTGAGCCCAGGCCCTCACTTCGGCTTTCATTTCTGCTGTCAACCACCTGCAACTTGAAACAAGCCCAGACTTCCAGGAGTGAGTCACCTGTACTTTCCCAGAATGGAAAGGCGTGCCTGTGAAAATCCCCTGACAGGAACGACTTAAGGGGAGGAAAGATTTGTCTTGGTCTGTGGTCTCAGAGGCCTCCATCCTTCATGGTGGGAAGGCAAGATGGGCAGCTTGGCCTATGACAGTGGGAATGTGTGGTCCAAGCTGCCCACATTGCCATGGGCCAGCAAGGAGAACAAGGCCAGTGTCAGGGACCAAACTATGATTTTCAAAGACCCTCTCCCAGGGACAGCTTCTTCCAGCAAGGCCTTACCCACAAGAACTGCCAGACAGGGACCAAGTACTCAAAACATGAAGGAAAAAGGAATAGATATTTCAGATTCAAACCATCTTAGCATTATTCCTACCCTGCCTCTGTGGTCCTAACTCCTAGTGACATCAAAATCTGTTGTCTTCTGTCATTATTAGTTGCCAACTTGACTACTATCAGGAATTGTTTTTTTCAAGATAGGGTTTCTCTGTGTAGCCCTGGCTGTCCTAGAACTTGCTCTATAGACCAGGCTGGCCTAGAACTTAGAGATTTACCTGCCTCTGCTTCTTGAGTGCTAGGACTAAAGGCGTGTGCCACTGTTGAAGGATTTTTCTTTATAAATATTTGAAGTGGGGAAATCCACTTCTAATCTGAATCTTTGAGGTGGGAAGATAAATCTTAAATCTGGGCCACACCTTCTCCTGGAAGCCTATATAAAGGACGTGGAAGAAGGAAGCTCTTGCTCATTGCCTGCTTGCCCTCACCCTCAGTAGCAAGTCCATTCCTTCCCTGGCATTACAGGTTACTTCTTCAGGATCCTGGCATATACTGAAGACCAGTTGGGACATCTAGCCTTGTGGACTGAACAACTTCTGTATTCTTGGACCTTTTGTTCATAGGCAGCCATTGTTGGATTAGGTGGACCATAGCCTGCAAGTCATTCTAACAAATCCCCTTTCTGTACATAGAGAGAGATTCATCCTATAAGTTCTGTTACTCTCGAGAACCCTGAGTAATGCATCTCCCATTTAAGGGGGGCCCACGTCCCTAAGGCCCTCCACCTCATCCCCTTCATCCAGTGTTCTTAAACCTCATGAGCGTCTTGCTCTGTTGAGAAAGAAAGGCCTTGGGCCCAGCTCACTTCCAGTCAGTCACTCAATTATATCCTCCAGGAAGCTTCCCAGCTCTCTACCAAGCCAAGCAAGATCAGGAAACCCTTCCTTGTATTAAATATGCTCTCTCTCTCTCTCTCTCTCTCTCTCTCTCTCTCTCTCTCTCTCTCTCTCCTTCTCTCTCTTCCTTCCTCTCAGATTTTGCTGAGTTCCAAGAGGACTGAGGATATGTGTTATTAATTTCTGTATCCTTAGCACTTAGCACTGTGCCCAAGACATAACAAGTATATTAAAAGAGAAAGGAAGAAAGGAAGGGGAAGAGGGAAGGAAGAAGGAAAGAAAATATCCAAGCATGATAGTACATGCTGATAATACCAGGAGACTGAGGCAAAAAGATTAGGAGTTCAAAGTTATTCTGGGCTATATAACAAAACAATCAAACTACACATATACACACACACACACACACACACACACACACACACACACACACACACACACACACACACACACACACACACACACACGGTGAGGAATGAGAACCCTGGGGAACAGGATAGAATCGCATGTTGAATCTAGTTCTGTAGCCCTCCCAATGGCTCTGAGCAGTGTCTCTCGAATCCATTCTCCCCGCATTTGATCCTTCAGCTTCCCCTCCCTAGTATTAATATAAAAATAGAATGAGTTTATATGGACTCGTGAAAACCATTGGCCAAGTCACTGTGACGGCTCTTGGAGCCTGGGCTGTCAGCAAGCCTGTAAATGTCTCTACTGACAGCCAGGCGTAAAACCATCACCAAACACAAACACTGGGCTTTTCCTTGTCACGGAGACACACTCCACGCCACGGCCAAGGTCACTCGCTTCTTGTGAACACAAGCTCTCCACAGCAGCCAAACATTTCCACACACCTTCCAGGAAGAGAACCAAAAAGTTCTTAGCAATTAATTCCCTGGTAATAATCACTTTATGGTCATCTCCACAAATGGAGAGGGACAGGATCCCAGAAAAACCCACAGAGGAACAGGAAAGCCAGATCATCAAACAAGTGTCCGTGCTGTGCACATGCACAGAAACTCCACAGTGGAACTCCCCAGCAATGTTTTGCTCAGATTAATAATTAAATGGCTGTGTGTATTTTGACTAGAAGCCAACACCTGGGCAAGGAGAGGTGACAGGGAAACAGTGACAAGGTTAGTCAGGAATGAGAATCAGCCAGGCCATCATGCAGATAATCCGGGGCTTCGGCCATGCAGAGGTTAGCCGGGAATGAGAATCAGCCAACCCACCAAGCAGCTTCCGGCATGCATTCCCTCTAGTGTTCCTTTTTTTTTTTCTTTTGAGAAAGGTTATTTCTTTGTAGTCCAGACTGACCTCAAACCCATGATCCTCCTGCCTCAGCTTACTGAGTGCTGGGATAACAGGGGTGTGTACTGCCATGTTCAGGTAGCTTCTCAAAATGTTTAGCTCATCATTTGATTCTGCCCTGGAGGTTGAAGCTGTGTTTGGAGGGAAGTGTCCAAGGCCCTGAGATCTGCTGGAGAGAGTCCTCCCCTCTCAGTGGAGCACACCCATGTTAGATGGCTCATCCTCTCAATGGTGTGTTTATTTCTCTTGATTCATTTTGTGCTCAGGAATTTCACTCTGTGTGTAGAATTACATGGGAGTCACCTGTTAGGATGACAGGTGTGCCTGGAGGAAAGACAATGCCAGGCCACTTCCTGTTTAGACAGTCAGATGTCCATCTTGTCTCAGGGATAGAAGTAGAGCATTACGGTTAGCAGAGTCTGAGGGAGCCCAGGTAGGCAACTGTGTGGGAAGACAGTTTCTACAGTTTACATTAACTGTCAGCTTGACAAGACCTAGAGTCACTGTCATAGTTACTGTTTGTTTGTTTGTTTGTTTGTTTGTTTGTTTGTTTATTTGTTTGTTTGAGACAGGGTCTCTCTATGCAGCCCTGGCTGTCCTGGAACTTACTATGCAGACCAGGCTGACCTCAAACTAACAGACATCCACCTGCCTCTGCTCTAGAGTGCTAGGATTAAAGGTGTGTACCTCACTCAGTGGTGGTGGCACATGCCTTTAATCCCAGCACTCGGGAGGCAGAGGCAGGCAGATCTCTAAGTCTGAGGCCAGCCTGGTCTACAGAGTGAGTTCCAAGACAGTAAGGGATATACAGGGAAACGCTGTCTTTAAAAAAAAAAAAAAGGTGTGCAGCACCAGGCCCAGCAAGCCCTAGTCACTTTCTGCTGCTATGATTAAGATACCATCACCAAAGGTGACCTATGGAAGGAGAGGGTTTCCTTTGGCTTTTAGTTCCAGAGGGCTGAGTCCATCATGGAACAAGAGGTAGGCATCGGAGCAGGCAGCTGAGCACTTACATCTTCATTCAAAAACAGGAATCAGAGAAAACAGACTGGACATAGTTGAGGATTTAAACCCTCAAAGCCTGCCTCTAATGACATTCTTCCCCCAGCAAGACCACACCTCCTAAACCTCCCCAAGCAGCTCTACCAGCTGGGGACCAAGCATTCGAATTCTGGAACCTATGGGGACATTTCTTATCAAACCACCACAATCACCTGGAGCCAGACCATCTGGGTGTGCCTGTGAGGAGTTTCTAGGTCAGCTTACCTGAAGTGGGAGGGTGCACCTGACTGCTGGACTGAATAAACACCCACCTCTGCTTCCTGACTGCCAGTGCAGGTGTGACAGCTGCCCTCCCAAGTGATGGACTTGAGTCCAAGGTGTGAGCCAAAATAGACACTTCTTTCCTAGACTGCTCTTGTCACCCCTTGCCACAGCATCTTGTCGCCGCAGGGGGAAAAGTGACTGATATGGTCGGTATCCTTTTTTTTTTTGTTTTTCTCAAGACAGAGTTTCTCTGTGTAGTTTTGCACCTTTCCTGGAACTCACTTTGTAGACCAGGCTGGACTCGAACTCACAGATATCCGCCTGCCTCTGCCTCCCGAGTGCTAAGATTAAAGGCATGTGCCCAGCTCGGTCGGTATCCTTGAGTGAAACGCACAGCCCCAGCAGGGAACCACCTTCCTCAGAGGGTGGGTGCCTCCCTGAGATCAGACCTCTCCCCATTATTCCTACCTCTTTCCACCCACATTTAAATTAGTTTTTATTTATTTATGTTTTTTTGTTTTGTTTTGTTTTGTTTTGTTTTGTTTTTGGTTTTTTTCGAGACAGGGTTTCTCTGTGTAGCCCTGGCTGTCCTGGAACTCGCTTTGGAGACCAGGCTGGCCTCGAACTCACAGAGATCCGCCTGGCTCTGCCTCCCGAGTGCTGGGATTAAAGGCGTGCGCCACCACCGCCCGGCTTGTTTTGTTTTTTTGAGGCAGGGTCTCATGTAACCCAGGCCAACCCCAACCTTTCTACATAGCAGAAGGTGACCTTGGATTTCTGATTCTCCTGTCTCCATCTCCCAAGTCCTGAGATTTAGTTGGGTGCTGACTTAATTGCCCGTTCTATCCTCTTTTACTGACTACCTTCGAGGTGGGTGCTGTGTACAGGGAAGACAAAAAGGACTAGAAGACATGAAGCGGATGGTAGTAAAGCATTAGCCAACAAGTTCAATGTGTACCTGTGTCACAGGCCCTCAGTGAGGAGTTGCCGCCAACAGCTCATGCAGCTAAATCAGGAATCACACGGGCCTCAGGCACCTCCATCACTATGCTCTATAATAATAGAACAGATATATAATGGCTATCCAGTGTAAGGATATCGATTGGATTTTCTTTGTGTGGGTTTGAAATAGGCTCTGGTTATTAGCCAATCCTAGCCTTGAACTCACTTGGTAGGTGAGGCTGGCTTCAAACTTGAGATCCTCCTATTTCAGTCTCCAGTACTCATATTGCAGACACCATGTCTGACTTTGATTGGATCTTATTTGGAAAAACAAAAAAACCCTTTTCAAAGGACATTGCTGAAGGTTACAGAAATACATCATACAGCCTGAGAACTGGTGAACTTAGGTAGTTGTTGTCAATTCTTTAAAGCATAGTAAAGAAAATACATAGGAGAATGTCTTCATTTTCAAGGGGTGTGTATTCTTGTGGTTTTTGGTTTTTCAGGTTTTGTTTTGTTTTGTTTTTTGAGAGGGTTTCTCTGTGTGTCCTGGCTGTCCTGGAACTCGCTCTGTAGACCAGGCTGGCCTCAAACTCAGAGATCCACCTGCCTCTGCCTCCCAAGTCCAGGATTAAGTGTGCCACCACCACCCAGCTATATTAATGGGTTTTAATTGATTTCTATATCTTACACTGAAATAGTTCAGAAAAAAATAGATGTTTAAGATACAATGTAAGCAATCACAGCATCCAAGCAAGGTGTAAGATGTTATTTATACAGTTCTTTCTATTGCACATCTGAAATTTTTCATAATGAGGAAATTTTCTGGGCCTGGTAGCCCACATCTGTAATCCCAGAATTTGAGAGGTTGAGGAATGGAGGACCTCTAGTTCTGGAACAGCCTGAGCTATATAGCAAGACTCTCTGCCCCAATAGACAAAATAACAATAACAAAAAAACTAGACAAAACCAAAATGAACCATTCTCTGTTCTTGCAAGCTTTTATACAAAGGCCTTTAATGAATGAAGCTTTCTATGTGTCGATAGGCAGATAAATGATTGCAGATAACGCTTGTCATAGGCCTGGTGGTTCTGATGCAAATGTACATTTTCTCCTTCAGTCCCCAAGGCAACACTGCCACACATATGGGCTTTCCTTTACAGAACAGAAACAAGCCTGGTAAGGTGCAGAAGTTTATCCCAAGTCACACACTGGGAGCTAGCAGGCCAGACCCAGTCAGGCTTGGATCTGACTCTGTGTTACCTGCTGTTAACTGCTGCCCTCCGTGGCTCAGAAAAACCTTGAAAGTTAATGTCCACTTAAATCCTTGTGACAGAATCCATTGTGGCAAAGGGCAATCTGTCCACCTGTGAATATAAACAACTATTGCAAGAGCCGTTTTGTTGAGACAGGGGCAAGAAATCCCTAGAGGCTGCCAGGAAAGGAAGGGCCTTGGCGAGTGAGGGAAGAGGCCATGAGGTGGGGAAGGGGCTTTGCCCTGTGGACCCACAGCTGCTCCGAGGCAAATTGAAGCCATGTGGCAGCATTTCTGAGTGCAGTAGGAGACAGAAAGGCTTTTCTGTTAGCAGGAGGGTTGCGTCTGCCGGGGCTGTTCCACACCACAGTGTCACAGCTGAAAGGTGCCTGGGTATTTCTTCCCACCAGCGGTAGCAGGCAGAGAGAGATGGTTCTAGGCTGTCACCAGCAGTGGCCTGAGCAGTTCTCTTAATCGTTAGGGAACTAGTCTCAGGTAGAACGGAATCCTTGGTTTCAATGCAGGAAAGAACTTCAGGATGGGCCAGTGTGACGAAGAGTTGTGAGTTTGTTAAAAGGACGCAGACAGTAAGCACGGGCTTAAGAGGAAGACAGCATTTGAGGAGAGACTAGGTGCTCCTGAGAGCTTTGAGAGTCACACACCATTGTTTCCACCATAGCTGTGTATTCTGTTCTTGGTGGCCTTTAAAGCTGTTACCTTCAAAGGGTTGCTAGGAGGGCAGATACACAGGGACGGAAAATGAATGCGACCGAGATGCAGGGCACAAACAATAAATAAAAAGGAAGTTGGCGGTGTGTGTGTGTGTGTGTGTGTGTGTGTGTGTGTGTGTGCGCGCGCGCGAAGAAGCCTAAAGGACCCCGCAGGGTGGATCCTGAGGGCACCAGGCAGGACTGCAGTAGAAAAGGCGAGGGTCACCGGAAGGTAGGCGCTCTCCACTGAAAATGAAGTCATTAATCCTGTTTGAAATTTCTAGAACACATCTGGGAAAGCAGTGGGGCCTTCCCCAGGGCCTTAAGCCTGATAGCTGTTGTTATTTTCACAAAAACTATCTATATATGGAAGGACTCTGTCGCTACGTTGGCAACCTTCATAGTAAATCTTGGTAACTATGTGGAAATTCTAGCTTCTAGGCTGGTGAGGAGTCAGATTCTAGCTGAAGGAATCCTTTCCCTTCCCATGTCCCCATGATTTTACTTTTTTACCTTCTTTTCTTTCTTTCTTTTCTTTTCTCTCCTTTCCTTTCTTTCTCTCCTTTCCTTTCTTTCTTTCTTTCTTTCTTTCTTTCTTTCTTTTCTTTCTTTCTTTCTTTCTTTCTTTCTTTCTCTCCTTTCTTTCTTTCTTTCTCTCCTTTCTTCCTTTCTTTCTTTCTTTCTTTCTTTCTTTCTTTTCTTTCTTTCTTTCTTTCTTTCTTTCTTTCTTTCTTTCTTTCTTTCTTTCTTTCTAAGATAGGGTCTCACTATTTGTCTCCGCCTGACCTGTAGTTTACTATGTGGACCGGGCTGGCCTCGAACTCACAGAAATCCTGCCTCTGCCTCCCGAGTGCTGGGATTTTTTTTTTTTAGTGTCTTATTAACATTTAAAAGATTTATTTATTTTTATTTTATATGTACAAGTATTTGCCTACATGTATGTTATGTGTACCACACACATGCCTGGTGTCTGAGAAGCCTAGAAGCAGCCATTGGGTCCCCTGGAACCAAGTTACAGGTAGTTATGAACCACCATGTGGGTGCTGGGAACCAAACCCAAGTCCTCTGCAAGGCAGCAAGTGCTCTTAACCACTGAGCTATCTCTCCAGGTCCCTGTTTAAGTGTTTTATTAGCATAGATAAATTATACATACTAATGGCTTCATTGTGACATTCCCATACATGTACATGGTATGTTTGATTATCTTCACCCCCATTACCCCTCTTCCTGCTCTTCCATGTCCCCAGAATTTTCCTTTTTGCTGTGTTGCCTCATTCAAAATGTTGCTTAATCAAGGCCCCTTCATGTCTGAGGTCCCTTTACTGACTCACCATTCAGGACACACAAATGCAATTTAAGAAAGTAGGATGGGCTATGATGAGCTAGCTGTCTGTACCTTCTCTCCTGGTCCCCTTTACTACCTGAGTCGAGAGACCAGAGGGCAGGGTGTGCCTAGCCAGCTGGCCTTTATAGGAATTTCGTCCAAGACCATGACCTTAGCTGGCCTCTGCTCTGACGTCCTGACTAACCAGTCTCCACACAGGGCAAGGCTCAAGCTTGTAGTCCCCCAGGGTCAAGCTGTGCTTCGCTTTGTGTGTAAGAACTGGAGAACTTGTGTAAGAAGTCAGAAAAATGTGAACACTCCCGGCATGTCTCCCAGGGCCTGGGCATTAGAGCAGAAGCCACCCACCCCTCAGTGGCCTTTTCTGACAGTCCAGCCTCTCCTCCAAGAGCAGTGTTCTCTCACAGACCCTTTGGGAAGTGGGCTGATCTGTTGGTGAGGTTCCCGGGCATCTGTGCAGCCGGCTGAGGAACCCCTCATGCGGAACTGGAGGCTTGTTCCTTTAAGCAACCACTCACACCACGAGATCTCCAATATTTCCAGAAAACTCACTGGATTGCTACAATTACAGAGCTGTCTCTTTGCTGCAGCCTGAGGGGCTCCTTGGAAGCCAATCTCGGAAGACAAAAAGTTGGGCTGTTTGTGGGGCCTGATGCTTGTGATCTCAGTACTAGGGAGGCAGAGGCAGAAGCTAGAGGATCAAGTGAGGCCATCTAAGGGCTACATAGAGAGACCCTGTCTGAGAACCAAAACAAAACCAAAAATCACAGTCAGCTGATGATGCTGACTATGTGGACTCCACCCTGACAGAGATGAAAGGAAACTTCCCTCAACCTCAAAAAGTCACAGAAATGCCTGTAATGTTTCTCACCGAACTCAGAAACGTCCATCTACAAACGCCGGCATTTTTATCAGCCCTAAAAAGGAAAGTGCCCCTGGGGGTGGGGGAGTAGAGTGATGGGAAAGTGTTTGGTAAAATAAATGGCTTCAAGGGGCCTTTTTCACAAAGGTCTCCCTAGCTCCAAATGATACTTCCTCCTTCAATCTTGCTTACCACTACACAGCTTTGACATGAGCTGCTGCTAACATGTCTGTGTTTAAGTCTGTGTCCCTTGTCCCCAGCTAACCCATCCTTCTTCAACTAACTCAAGTAACCTACCATCCTCCCCCAACTAACCCGCCACACTCCAACTAACCCCCCCCCCCCCCGGCCTCCCTTCCTCTGGTTTCTCTGAGCAGTGAGACCCCTTCTCCCAGTGATCAGTCACTCTGGAAGTCCACTCCTTCCCCGCCTCTCTTGCTACACTAATTCTGGCCTCCTCTCAGCAGGGCGAGATGAAATGCACACAGAATCCAGCCCACAGGGCCCAGCTGCTCCGTGTCCTCCCCACTTGGCCCAGGCTTATCGCTGTCACGCCCATGTGCATCCTTTGTCCCTGTCACCAGACTTCCCTGAACTCTCACTCACCTTATCCCCGCGGCATCCGTCCTTGGCCTTTGCTAGCTGTTCCTTCATGTTGGAATCTGTGGTTGCTAATCTTCTTTGTCAACTTGACTGCATTTAGAATCTCCATGGGAACGCACCTCTGGGTGTGTCTGTGAAGGGTGTTTTTCATTTTCAGAGAGGCTTAACTGAGAAAGGAAGACCTACTCTGAGTGTGGGAGGCGCTATCCGTGAGTGGGGGTCCTGGCCTGAAAAGAAAGGGAAAGCAAGGAGGAGAGCATTCTTCTCTCAGCTTCCGGACTGGGGACGGAAATGGCCTTTCCCTTCCAGGGCCTGACTTGCCCTCCAATATGGGCCTTGCCTCCCATAGTAAGCCAAGGCAAACCTTCTTTAAGGCACTTTTGTTAGAGTGGTGAAAAAAGGGACAGATACAGCTTCTCTTCAGTGCGGTGTGTCCAGAGTTCGCCACCTCCCCACACCCCTCATCATGGCTGCCCGCCCAGCCATACGCAGAGTGATCACAGTTTTGGGGGGCTGGTCTGTCTCTGTACGTCTGCTGTCTGTCTACCTTGACCTGAAGTGCTCATCATGTTGTTCTCTGTTCCTCACATAGTGCCTCATATAAAGCCCAGTAGGTGCTTAATAGTCCAAATCCAACAGCCAGAAAGGCCAGACTCACATTCTGCCTTTCCAAACATCTACTACTTTGGAATCAAGTTGCCCATGAAACTTCTGTCTCACTAGATTAAAAAATATATATATTTTTTTCTAGGGCTTAAAATTTTTGTTTTGCTGAAGTCAATACCTTTTAAGCTGCTCTCTTCCTCCCTTAGCCTTTGGTGGCCTAGGAGATGTTGACTAATTTGTCATGAATTGGTTATTGATGTCAAAATAATTAAGATATCAACATTATTCACTTTGAAATTTCTTAGTTTACAGGGGAAAAATGTAAACCTAAAGAGTTATTCCATTTGTACCCCACTCAGAGGCCTGGGGTCTTTTATAAGATGAACCTGACCCACTTGGGAGATACAGGGACGTAATGGCCTGTGAATGAAAGGTGCCCTGGCCACTTCCCTCACTGTCCATTCTTCTGCTTGGCCTCCTCACAGGCCAGGCTCCGTTCTCCCCTGGAAGATTGGAGGATTCAGAGGCAATCCCGGCTTTCACACTGTAATCCTCCCAGGACCCCTGGGGAGCCCTGTGCAGTCTGACTCTTTGCTGTTGAGTGTGTGATGATCAGTGCTAATTGTCAAAGTGAGACAATCACCAGGGAGATGGGCCTCTGGACGTGCCTGGGGAGGGTTGTCTTTAGTTTATTGATACGGGGAGACTATTCCCTGGGCAGGGATCCTGGGATGTGTAAAATGGAGAAAGCCAGCTGCGCCCAGCAGTTCATCACTGTTCTTGACTGTGGATGTGCTGGAGTGAGTGGCCGATTCAGGCTCCTGTCGCTTTGATGCCCGTGCTGTGAAGGACGGTACTGTAGCAGGAATCTTAGAAGTTCTTATTAATAAAAACAAACCCGGGGCCAGATATTGGGGTGAACACTGGAAGGTCAGAGAGACAGAACAAGCCACAGCTAACCTCACCTGGCCAACTTCTCAGCTGATCCTGTTTCCTCAGACTGGAAGCCTCTGTGTCCTCATATCCTAATGGCTCTCAGCTGAACTGCTGCTAGAAGCCTGAATGCTTAACCAGCCAAATGCTTCTAGTTCCTGGTCCTCATGCCTTATATACCTTTCTGCTTTTCTACCACCACTCCCTGGGATTAAAGGCATGAGTCACTATGCTTGGCTGTATCCTTGAACACATGGATTTCTGCCTAGCTCTGCCTCCCAAGTGCTGGGATTAAAGGCGTGTGCTACCACTGCCTATCCTCTATGTTTAATATTGTGGCTGTTCTGTCTATGACCCCAGATAAGTTTATTAGGGTGCACAATATTTCAGGGAACACAATACCACCACATGGTACCCCTAAACTGTAAGCCAGAATAAACTGTTTGCTTAGGAAACTTAGAGAGTGGCTTTTCTCAGGGTATCTTGTCACAACAGTAGGGAAGAGACCAAGACACAGTGACACTCATCGCTGAGGCCTGTGGCTCTAACCTGCTGTGACTTGGTGGCCTTAAAGGGAAATAGTATCTACACTGGATCTTTCAACATGACATTGGAGAAGCAAAACACACACACACACACACACACACACACACACACACACACACACACACACACACACACACACACACACACACCCCAGTCAGGGTTTCAGGAATTCTAAAATGCAGACCCAGGAAAGGAGAAATTCACATAAAAAACTCTTCCCTGGCCTTGGGCCACCTTCTCCTTGGCTACCTGAAGCGTCTATCTGCCTGGAGACCATTAGTTAGGAAGGCTGTTTGCCAGGCAGGGTCTGCAGCTCTCAGGTAGAATGAACATTCAGAATGGCTCTGGGGTCGGACCCACCAGCAAAGCAGCTGGTGCCTTCAACTAGCAACTCTTGCTTCATGTCTTCTAGTCCTAAGACCATCCTTTCACAAACTGTCCCTTAAAGACCTTGGAAGGAGCACAAAAGTTTTGTTCCCAGTAGGAAAGAGGCTGGATTCACCATCATTCTGACATGAATATGGAGTGGTCAGTGCTGGGGACATATGGAGTGGGCAGTGCTAAGGACAGAGGAATGGTCAGTGCTGGGGGCATATGGAATGGGCAGTGCTGAGGACAGAGGAATGGTCAGTGCTGGGGGCATATGGAATGGGAAGGGACTGGTTACTGGAGAGATGGATGAGTAAGGCACCCTGGAGAGGCCAATGTGATAAAGCTACTGTAAGGTCACCCAAACTCACCTTGGGGTGGTCAAACAGCTAACACCATTTTGGGGTTTCAGCAGCAAGCATTGGTGATCAGACTGGTGGTGTCTGGGCCTGGTGATAGGAGGTGAAATGTCTAATTTTGGAAGAGGAATACAGAGTTATTCTAGACCTGGGCTTGGTCCAAGCAGACTATCACAAAGCACACTGGGAACCTGGAATTGGGACCTAAAGTCAAACTATACTGAGGAACTGTAGAGGGAAGTTTCTCTGGTCCTGCCCAGTCCACAGTTGGTACTAATCTCTCCTACCTGCGTCCCACAGCCGCTTGGCCCCAAGTAAACACACAGAGGCGTATATTATTTACAGACTGTATGGCCGATGGGTCAGACTTCTTGTTAGTTAGCTGTTATAACTTAACTCAGGCATTTCTATTAATCTATATGTTGTCACGTGGCCGTGGCATCACTGGTGGGCTGGCATCTTGTTGCTCCTTGGGTGGTGGACTGGTGTCTCCTCTCCCTCCTTCTCCAGTCTCTTCAGTTCGAATGTCCCGCCCAACCTTATTCTGCCTTGCCATTGGCCAGACAGCTTTGTTTGTCAACCAATCAGAGCAACACACACTCACAGTGGACAGAACGACATCCTACAGCAAGGAACTGAAAATTTACCTCAGTGTAGACTTGGGCAGGCCTGTCATTGCAGGTGCTGTGTGAGCACAGTGAGTACAGGGAGGCACATCTGTAGGGTGCAGGCTCATTAGCTCTCTCCACACAGTGTGCCTGCTCAGGGGAGGTGCTCACTACACACTGAAGGAGCTCAGTATCAGCTGTTGGAGGGAGAGGCTCTTCCCTGGAAGAGCAGTCTTGGTCATACAGGAACTACCTGTCAGCTCTTGGGAGTACGTACCCCAAGAAGTCTGTGTTGGTCCCTAACCCCTCAGCGTTGCCCTGTTGGGAGATAGGACCCCTTGGTTGGTGTTTGGGTCATGCGGGTGGAGCCTCACAAAGGTATTAAGACCTTTCTCAGAAGACCTGGTGAACACTCATGGTGGTGTGATGGCGTCTCTCTTTGGCATGTGCCTGGTTACCCTTGTGCTTCTCGAAAGCCATTCACCACTGCTGAATATCCTGACAAGCATGAGGTAGTCATAGCCCCCCACCTCCAGGTGTGGGAAGGAGTCCCACCTCCTTTGTATATCTCTAAAAGGCAAATGAGACAGGTATTGGTGAAGTATTGCCTTGTAGGACATTTGCCTGGGGCCTCCTGGTTTAACAACCTATGTACAGTGCCAGCTTTGTGTGTGTGTGTGTGTGTGTGTGTGTGTGTGTGTGTGTGTGTGTGTGTGTGTGTGTGTGTGTTGCATTGACCTTTGTGCTCAGCAGGACCTTGTGCTTTGTGGTTGTCTTCTTGAAATTTCTAATCGTTTTTGAGCAAGGGCTTTGGGCTTTTGATTTTGCACTTTTAATCTTGCCTCAGCTGTGCTGTCCATAAGATCTGTCTCAGTTCCTCTTTCTAGCTCTCCCTCTCTTGGCCACAGGAATCCACCTTCTATAATCTTGGTAAATTCTTGACATTCTTAGGAGTTAAGAGAGTGTGGGGGTCAACTCCAGTTCTTAAGTCTCTTGTTCTAATCTATTTCTCCTGGAGCTGATTAAGAATCTCTTCACAAGTTCCGAGGGTTCAGATACTCAGACCACCCCCTCCCCATGCTGATTTCACTCTTAATCTGCAGCTCCCTGGAATTTTAAGGATGAGATAAAGGCTGTGAGGGCAGAGGCAGGTTGTCAGTAGAGAGGGCATGATTTAAAAAGAGCAACCAGGAGCTGGAGAGATGGTTCAGAGGTGAAGAGCACTCACTGTTCTTGCAGAGGACCCAGGGTCAGTTCCCAGCATCCACATGGTGGCTCATGAACATCTACAATTTTTAGTTCCAAGGACCCAACCCCTCTTGTAACCTCCCCTGGCACCAGGCACATCTAGTACATATACACACATGCAGGCAAAACACCCACGAAACAATCTAAAAAGAAATTTTTTTAAAGAACATCCACAATTTACAGTAAACAAGACTTGAGAGTCCCATCATCAGCGTAGAGGCTCACATCTGTAACCTCAGCTCTTCTGAGGCTGGAGCAACAGGATTACTACAAGTTCAAGGCCAATCTGGGTTAATGAGACCCTGTGTCAAAGAGAGAGAGATCACTAAAGCATGTGTGGAACTTGTTCAGCTCTTTGTTCAAATAAATGAATTATTAAAGGCTATTTTTAGATAATAGGAAAATTTGAATATACAATAGGCTATAAGGGACTTTGAAGGAATCATGTTTTACTTTTCTTGGGTGTGGAAAAGATACTGTGTTATGTAAGAAAAGGCCCTTGTCTGTTGCAGAGATGCGTACAGGAGTAGTTAGGGAGTTAGGACAGTGTCTAAAGCTTTAAAAAAGAGAAATACAGAGCTGGTTGACGTTGACGATGGAAGTTTTGTGCTCTCTGCTTTACGTATGCTTAAGAGTTTTCATAGTAATAATTACAAAGGGGAGGGAGGGGGAGGGAGGGAGAGAGGGGGAAGAGAAAGGGAGAGAGAGAGGGAGACAGAGAGAGGGAGAGAGACAGAGACAGAGAGAGAAAGAATGGGGGGCACAGAGAGAATGAACTTGCTTCTAGACACACACAGAGTAGACGTTAGGCTCTAAACAAGCTGCCCTATTGATCTTCAATCTTCTCTAACGCCATTTTCTCTACTGTTTCAGTGAAGGCAGCGATGGCTCTGTTGGACCTCCACTGACTCTCCTGCCCTTCTCTCCTGGGCTTAGTGGCTTTGAGGGCACCATCATAACGGGAGCCACAGAGGATCCTATCATGGTCTTGGCCATGGCTCCTCCAACCTCATTGCCTCTAAATCCTCCTCTTCTCCTGGACCTTGTATGAAGTCTGTAATCCCCCTGGCCTGTCCTGACCCCTGCTTGACCTCCCCTGGCATCATGGTCAGCATCTGATATTTCATGTTGGATCCAAAGTTGTTCGGGAATTGTTTTGTACAATTAGTGTCGCTCTCCAGCAGGTTTCAGCATTGCAAGCCTTACGCTCCGAGAGGTTCTACACAGGTCTTTTCCACGACGAGTAATCCCCAAGCTCATTCATGTGTCTGCCTCCCATCCCAGATGCCTTCTCCTCTCCCCTGCCTCAGCACCAAGCACCTGTTGTGTGCTGGATGCTGGGAACAAGATAGACTGAGTCTGCTGCATGGCTCTTCATGACAGAGGGAGAGGTGACATGGGACAAATGGTTACACAAGCTGTTCTTGACATCAGTGGGAAGGGCTGAGAAGACAGCCAGCCACAGGAGATACAGTGTGGAGCTCAGGATACCTGACTGGGAAAATCAGCAAAGGCTCCCTCAGGAAGCGATTTTAGAGGGAGACTTAAAGGAGAGGCAATAATCTGCCTTCAAAGGAGATGAGGAGCTTTCCAGGCATAAGCCAGCTCCGAGGGGAAGGTGGGGGAGGAACCTCGCGTACCAGTGGAAGTTCTAGACACAATGGCATGTGGAGATGAGGGTTGAACATAGGCATGCCTCTTGAATAGAGATGGATTTTGAGCATCTTAAGTCCGTGGGAAGCAGGATGCTCATTCTTGTCTGTACTACACGGTTTCAGTAACAGCCTCCCTGAATATACGTTCCTTTGCAGAGAGATCTCCCTCTACCCAACAAGCAGTAGAATCTGCTTCCCTGTCCATTGAACCTGGGCACAGCTATCTGACCTCTGACCGGAGGGAAGACGACCCATGTCATAGAGGCAGAGCTGCCACTGTGGGAACAAGCCTGCCTCCTTGAGAACAAGAGGCTCCAGCTATACAAGACCCCAGACGTGAATGAAGCCATCCTTCACCACCTGGTCCCACCCAACCAAACCAGTTCAGACCAGAACCATCCACCCAACCCACAGAATCATGAACTTCAGTAAACTTTGCTGTCAGGGACTGAATGACTGTGTCCACCCTCCCTTCTCCGATCTATGGTGTTGGAATCCCTCCTCCCATGGTGGAACTAAGAGGTGAGATCTTTGGGACTTAATTGGATTGGATGAAGTTATGGAGTAGACGCTCCTGGGAGGGTATCCTTATACTACAGGCCTAAGCAAGTTTGTTCTTCCCTTCCTGCAGGCAAGGACACATCTACCAAACAGAGAGCCCACACCAGACACTGAAGCAGACGGCATGTCAGCCCTGGATCACTCAGCTTATAGTAACACCCAGATAATGGCATTTGGTACAGTAACCTGAGCTTAGTCAATTAACTATTTCACTTTTAATTTTCAAAGATTTTGTTTCTGATTTATGTGTATGTATGTTTGTCTGTGTGATTTGTTTTGTTTCTGACTTGTGTGTATGTGTGTATTGTCTGTGTGTGATTTGTTTTGTTTCTGACTTGTGTGTATGTGTGTATTGTCTGTGTGTGATTTATTTTGATTCTAATTTTTGTGTATGTGTGCTTGTCTGTATGATATATTTTGTTTCTGATTTATATGTACGTATGCCCAGCTGTCTGTCTGTGTGTCTATGCCTGTGTGAGGCCAGAAGAGAGTGTTGGATGTGCTGGAGCTGGGGTTACCATGAACCTCCCGGCACAGGTGCTGGGAACAGAAATGTCTGGAAGAGCAGCAAGTGCCCTTGATGAGGGATCTGCCTCCCTAACCTTGGTTAACTATTTGAATCAACAAGTTTGGGGGTGAAAAGTGAATTAAGACACCACCCTGGACTCTTATGGACTGCCTCCCGCATGCAGACAGGTAAGGCACGCGGCAATGAGTGTCAGTTCATGATTATAGGCCAGCTGGAGGAGCCCTATAGAAAAATGACATGGCTGACTTCAAAATGATAAATTTGGGATTGAGAGATGGCTCTGTGCTTAAAAACACTTGCTGAGCTTGCGGAAGACATGAGTTTGATTCCCAACACCCACATTAAGTGGCTCACAACTGCCTGTGGCTCTATATGCATCTGCATTCATGTGCTCGAACATTTGTAGACATACACAGGCACACAGACACACATACAATTTAAAATAAAATACGGGCTGGAGAGATGGCTCAGTGGTGAACTGCACGGGCTGCTCTTCCAGAGGACCCGGGTTTGATTGCCAGCACCCACACTGTGGCTCACAACTGTCTGTAACTCTAGTTCCAGGGATCCAATGTCTTCTTCTGGCCTCCAAGAGGTGGTCTGTACAAGTGGTGCACAGATATATATGCAGGCAAAAACATCTATACATAAAATAATTTAAAACAAATCTGAAAATGAAATAAATCTTTAACATTTTTTTCAAAAGGAAACGAAGTGAAGTGAGCGTTCCAACAGAGCAGGGGGAGCAGGGAGTGTGGAAGGTCAAGGCCAAGAACATTTCCTTGGGGCCTGGAGCTTCAATTTGTCTTCGAGGGAAGATAAGGTAATGCTGAGTTGCTGAAGAGGAACAGAGGCAGGACTTCCCACAGGAAGGACGTAAACAGTCTGCAGGAATGTGGCTAGCACTCTGACTGGACCAGAGCAGAGGGCCTGAGGAAGAGAGCAAAGGGGGATGAAGCTTGGGTGGGGGAGATCATGCCGTAAAAGATGGGGACCTGGGGTTAGAATTGCCAGATTTAGAGACTGGAGAGATGGCTCAGTGGTTAACAGCACTTGCTGTCCTTGAGAACACCTGGTTTGATTCCCAGTCCCTCCACAATGGTTCACAACCACCTGCAACTCCAGCTCTGGGGAGTCCAAGACCTCTTCTGACCTCAACAGGCACATGTGTGGTACATATGCATACATGCAGGCAAAACACTTATAAAAGAAGATGAATCTAGAACTGCCAGGCTTAACACTAGATAAAAATATAGACTAATCAGCAACATTTGGAACATACTTATACCTGGAAGTTTTGCTTTCTAAAATTAAAATTTAGGTGTAAGTATTATTGTTTATTTGGTAGCTCTTGCTGAGGTGAAAAACTCAAACACTACAGGGGACTGGGAGACAGACTACGTGAAAACCAAGAGAGAAGGTGGGACCATTAGGTTTGGGTGTGGAATGTCCCCCACAGGCTCATGTGTTTGAACACTGGTCTCCAGATGGGGGCGCTATTTTTTTCAGGTTGTAGAACCTTTAGAAGATGGAATCTCACTGGAGGAAGTGGGTCCCGGGAGGGCAGCCTTTGAGAGTTATATACCGACCCCGATGCCCTCTGCTCTTTGCTAACTGACCATCGACCCAATGTCATGACTGCCTCACGCTCCTGTCCCAGCGGCAAGGGCCCACGCCTTGCTCACCACTAAAGACTCTTGTCCCACACGCCATGAGCCCGGGTGACTCCTTCCTCTTTGGGTCCCTTTTTGTTTGTTTGTTTTAAGACAGGGCTTCAGGTAGACCACACTGGCCTCAAAGTCGCTGCATGGTTGAAAATGACCTTGAACTGACCCCCATGCTGCACCCTCCTGAATGACAGGCATGTGTCATCATGCCCACCTCTTAAGTTGCTTTCTTCCAGGGATCTGGTCACAGCTTTAAGAAAAGGAACCAATAAGACTGTGACAGAACATGCAAAACTTGTTCTGCTTAAAGATAATTGGCCCTGGGATGGAAACATGGTTCAGCAGCTAAGAATGCTGGCTGCTTCCAGAGGACCAGGCTTCAGTTCCCCATACCCACGTAGTGGCTCACAACCATCTTCAACTCTAGTCCTAGGGGATCCAACACCTTCTGCTGCCTCTATGGGCCCAGGGCATGCACGTGATGCACAGATATACATTCAGGCAAAACATTCTCACATCTAAAATTTAAAACAAACAAACAAAAAACCATACTAATTTTGCTCAGTGTTTAGCACATGAAAATGCAGGTGAAATATTTTCAACTTTTCCATTTTCCAAGAGAAGCTGGAATTTTGGATTATAGATCCTAATTATCTAATATTACTTGAATATTTCCATATTTAAAACACTGTATAAGCCAAATAAAACCATGTTTGTATTTAGCTTGAAGACTGCTTTCAATCTTTACTTTGTGGGCAAAAATGCCAGGGTAGAATTTTCAAGTATGGTTGTGCATGCCTGTAGAAAACGCAAACAGAGGAGCTAAAGTCAGCAAGAAGGCTTTCTTCTTCTTGTGTCCCCTGTATCCTGTCCTTCTCCTGGTTAGGCCATCCGTGTGTGCACACATGCTGAGGATTTTGAAATTTATTCCATAATCTAGAGGATGGAGCAAATCTCTCATCTGAAAATTCTAGACACTCTAGTGGACTTCATGTGTTTGTGTGCTATGTGTAGATACATGTACACAGAAACACATATGAGTGTTAGAGTTGGAATATGAAATGTGCCTGGTAGGCATGTGTGTTGAAGGCTTGGCTCTCAGCTGACCATGCTATTTTGGGAGTTAGTGGAAACTTTAGGAGGCAGAGAACCTGGAAAAAGTAGGTCACACGGGGGGGGGGGGGGGGGGGGGGTGCCTTTGGAGGGCATCTTGTCCTTGGCCCCTCCCTGTCACTCTCCCTGCTTCTGACCAGCAGCAGGTGAGCACCCCTGCTCTAGCACACACCCTTCCTAAGCTCTTCTTCATCACAGGCCAGGAACAAAGGAGCCACTGAGCCATGAGCTGAAGCGAAGCGCCTCAAAGCAGAAGCCCAATGAAGCCATCCACCTGTAAGCTTTCTCTTAGGCGTTTGCCTGACTAACAGAACAAAGATGGCCATTGCTGTGGAAAATTAGAAACATCTGACACTTGTTTTAGAGCCTGACATGAACTGTGGGATGGTCTCACGACAGAATCCCATCACATGTTAAGCTAGATAAACTCATTACCGAGATTTCAAAAGCATCAGGTGAGTACAAAAAACACATAAAACAAAATCATTGTCTCTAGGGCCAAGCATGGTGATGCTATGTTTAATCCTAGCACCCAGGAGGCAGAGGCAGGAAAATATCTGTGAGTCTGAGGCCAGCCTGATTTACAAAGAGTTCCAGGTCAGCCAGAGCTACATAGTAAGATCTTGTCTCAAACTAATCAATCAATCAAGGCCCTGGGTTGGGTCCTCAGCTGTGGGGGGGAGGGATAGCCATTGTCTCTATAACTCGCTAACTCAAATATAAAAACATAGACCACATGTTTTGCAGGAGTTTGAAGAAAGAGGCTTTGGAGTTCAAGGCTAGCCCAAGTTACATAGGGAGACCCTATCTCAAAAACAAAACAAAAATAAAAACAACCACCACTACCACAATGCAATGGGCCAGTAGAAGCTCACCCAACACTGTTGGTTTCCTGTCTCTGCCATAACAAAATAACACATGGAAGCTTGAAACAACACATTGTGATCTTGAATTCTTGAGGGCAAAATCTGCAGATGGGTCGGCAGGGCGACTTTCTAGGAGAACGCTTGCCTTTCCCACATTCAAGAGGCAGCCTGTACTTCTTGGCTCTTGACCAAGACATGGTTTGAATGTCTTCTGAAAGCTTTGTACTAGACATGTAATTCCCCAGCCACAGCGATGAGAGGTAGACCTCTGAGAGGTACTTGAGCTATGAGCGCTCTGCCCTTGTGAATAGGCTGATGCAGTTGCCTTGGGAGTAGGTTAATTCTTGTGAGAGCTTCCTTTCCCTCAGCTGTGTTCTTAACATGCTCTTTCTCTCGTGTGACATTCTCCACTGTGGCGATGATACAGCAAGAAACCCCTTGCCAGATGCTCACCCCCAGGCTTTGGACTTCCCAACCCCCAGAACTGTAAAAATAGATTCCTGCTCTTTATAGATTACCCAGTTATAGCTACAGAAAACGGATGGAGACAGCCGCATCATACCAGCCTCTGCTTCATTGTCACCAACCTCCTACATCACCATGTCTCCTTGGACTCAGACCCTAACTAGGACCCTGCAACGAAGACACCAGGCCCACCCAGGATGACCTCCCCATCTCAAAATTTCTTGGCTTAATCCCTTCTGCAGAATACCCTTGTCATATAAGACAGTGTTGGTAGAGCAGAACGGCTCACCTGATGGTGGCCATGAAGCACAGAGACTAACAGAAAGGGACCAAGATGTTCTGACGGGTTTGGGAGCACTGTTTGCTCATGGCAGATTTAATATGGAGAAAAGGAGGAAAGTAGAGCAGGGGATAAACGTAGAGAACTTTGTCTGCCTCAAACTCTCAGGATCTGCCTGGCTCTGCCTCCCAAGTGCTGGGATTAAAGGCATGCGTCACCACCGCCCGGCTCAGGTTTTATTTCTTAACTTTAGGAACATCCCCGAGACAAGTGTGTAAAATTACAATTCTCTGATAAGGAGCAGTGGTGGTAGGTGTTGATTATATTGTCCACTATACTGTCCTCTGTTAAGATTTTCCCAAAACGTTACAAACAGGAGAAATGGGCTTAGGGAGAGAGTTTTTTCCCTCTGACTTCCTATCTATACAATGTGTGTATTGAACTACTGAGTGGGTCTAGAAGAGAGGTCTCGGTTTTCATCTTGAGAGGGAGTAGGGCCTTAGTTTTTTAGGTCTGAAGGGACCTTGGAGAACAGCTGGGGGTGTGAATAAATCTTTATATTTAAAAGCAGTAGTGGCTCCTCAGAGTGCCCACGACAGAGCACATCTGCCCTTTTGCCTGTCTGTTCTCTAATGCTTTTGTCAAGGCGTGCTTCCTAATTCCTGAGTCTGCTTTGTGTCTGTCTGTCTTTTGTTTTACTTTCATATTTATTACATTTCACTGGAAAGGAAGGGGGTGGGAGTAATTCCCCCCCTCCCTGACCCCTCCAGGCAGGCTCTGTCCCAGCGGAGTTGTGAAACAAAGGCTATGCAGCTCTCAGAATCCCCGCCCACAACAGAGAGCGGAAACGTGGGGCCTTCATCAAGAGGCACAACTAACCAGTCGCCAAACGCTCGCTTGGCAAAGTGCTTTGTCATCTCTTCTGGACATTGTCAGTTCGAAGGCTTTCAAAAAAGTTTCTATCATCTCCCATTTCCCATTACTGGGAAAGGGAGGGCAAAGGGAGATAAACACAGAAGCATGGAAGAGGATAAAATAACAGTGAGATGTCCGAAAAGTCATAAGGAATCATAATATTAACTACCCACCTTGGAAAAACCCTACAATACACATAGGTCTGTGCATAAATAGACATATGTGGTTTAAATGAACTTTTCTCATCTGGACTGATAACACCCCCTCCGAGAGCCAAAGACTATCTAACAAAACCCCGCACCTGGCATGAAAGCCCTCTTTTGAGCTGTTATCAGTGCTGTCCAAGGGTCTCCCAAAACATTACAGGTTATCACTGTTGACCTTGGTTGCCACCCCCCACCCAGAGGTGGAAGGTAAGTCTCTATTGCTGAAGACCCTGTACACTTCAGACACGGGGCTCAGAGGCCCCTGAGCTGGAGCTGACCTGAAAGCCTCCTCCTGAGGACCAGCTTCCATGGTAGCAGAAGGGACCAGGCAAGCTTCCAGAGGAGGAAAGCCACCAACTGTTCTACCCAGCGATGACACCTAGGAATCACAGCAGTAGCCAGCATGGCACAGCAACCTTGAGGGCGCAGTGATAGCGCACACACCTTGGTGGCACCCAACAGTTCACTCAGCAATCGTGCCAACCAGAGCTAGTGAAGTCATGGGTCTTGAAAGAGAGCCTACAACCACCACTTATTAAACCGCCATAATCCCTAACTACACTCTAAACGTTCATTCTTTTGCCCACAGGTAAGGGTGGTCCTCACCCTTCACCAGGGAAACTTCTTTTTGTAACAGATGGAGCCCATTGCAGAAAACCATAACCAATCAAAACGCAGAGTTGTGGAGCCCAGTCCCAATGGATACATCTACAAAACAAAGTGCGCACATGAGGCTCAGAGATCACTGTGGAAGAGGGGGTAGAAAGATTGCAAGAGTCAGAAAATCAGGGAATTTGCTGAGTGTGTCATCTAGTAATGTCAGAAGTTACATCCATACAGTGTCACCAACATGCCTGCCCAAATGTGAGCCGAACAAGGACAAGAGCAATGACCGAGCAGATGGGAGAAACTCATGAGGCCTCCATCCCACACAAAGAACTACAGGTCACTAAGGAATGCTGAGAGTGGGAAAAATAGTCCCCCAGGGAAGAGCACACCAATTAGACCTCCAATACCAAATGGTCATCCTTGAAAATGTACATACAAGTAACATTCTAAGGACCGAGCAGGTTGTACTTCCTTATTTAGGAATATATCTGTGTACACATGTATGCCTCTAGCAACAACTAATAAGAAAGAGGCCATGAATTTTAAAGAGCAAGGAGAGGGATATGGGAGGGTTTGGAAGGAGGAAAGGGCAGGAAGAGATGACATAATTACATTAATCTCAAAAGAAAGAAAAGACTCCCATCAGTACCCATCAGCTCACTTGATCTCTCAGGGAAGAGGGACGTTAGGACAGTGTCCTTACATCAGTGTGTGCAGGCTCTAGAACAGGAGAGGAAACCAGTGACAGACCTCGAGGCCTCTTGAAGTGGACATTTGGAGACCTTTGTGAACAGTTGATGGCTGCTCAGCTTCTGTTCCTCCCTTCTTCCTTACCGTTTCTGTTGGTCCATCCTGTCGCGTCCGCCTCGACCAGCAAGGAAGACGCGACGCCAGGCTCATCTCCAAGCGGTTTATTCAGGAACCTTGAGACAATCTTCTGACCCCGGGGAAAGCCATCTTCTTCTTCACGCTCACGCTCACGCTCACGCTCACGCTCACGCTCACGCTCACGCTCACGCTCACGCTCACGCTCACGCTCACGCTCACGCTCACGCTCACGCTCTCCTCCGAGCTCCTATCTCCTCCCGGGGAAAGCCAGCTCACGCCCTTTATAGCCACTGGGCAATCAACCCCGTGGTGCCACGTGGACAATGCCGATAGGGTCAGACATACGCAAGCAAGCCAGATTAGGTCCAGGTGTGCGGAAGCAAGCCAGATCCTAGCCTTAGCCAAATAAGGAGCACCTGCCATCGGGAAGGCAGAAGCCGGACGCCG